ACCGTGAGCTGGAATGTGTCCGCACATGATGAGGAGAGGAACTGGACTGGGATGGTGACCTGTTGCAGCTTCTTTTACAGAGATGGCTGATGGAGACAAGGTGGCCATGCTACCTGGGGCTGGGAGGGGCTCTGCACACCCGCAGCATCATCCTGCACTATAGAGTTATTTAACACTCAGATTTTGCACTTTGCAGTTATATGTTGTGCTTGTTACCTTCATGTACTGCCTGTCGCTACTTACACCTTAGGAAAACCAGAGAGCTGAGGTGCAGGTGAATCCTTTTCAGTCCCCTGGATCCTTCTCCTCGTGTTTTCCTTATTTGACGCTCCTTTATTTTCAGGGCTCACACTTCTCAGCCTGTGTGATGTCTCTCTTAATGTATCTATTCATTAGCACTAAACAGTAACTGTCTGCTTGCTAATTCCTCTGTAATTAGAGGCTCTGAATTCTTCTGCTTACACTCACACCGCCTGGCAGCCTTGATGTAGATCATTAGCAGTTGATAACAGAAGCTGCAGGCACAAAGGCAGAGCTGGGACAGGAGAAAGGAGGGTGTTGTAGGGAGAGGAGAGTGTGCAGAGGGAGGAGAGGGATGAGCCCCGGGAACCCACGATTGCAGCCTCCCTCTGCCTTCGCTCTGGGTTGAGCAGCCAGCTGGGGCTCCTTCTCAGGCAGAGCAGGGGACTGAGTATGCGATGGGGTTGTGCTCCTGCCGCAGTTGGACAATGGCCTCCCTCCAAAGTGCCCACTACGCTGGCCTTTGGGGACCTCCCAGCCCCGAAGAAAGCGAGGGAAAATCACCGTGGTTCACCCAGGGATAAATGGACCACTATTGCCAGGGGAACCACCTGTGCTTTGTGCTTTCAGGACTGAGGAGAGACGCCACATCACCAGCAGCATCTTTAACCTTCGGGTGTCATAAATTCTTTAACATCCCAGGCGAAAGCTGCTGTGTGGAAACAATCCCTGTAGAGCAGCCAGAGCACAGGTACTGAGCGTGGCTGGTGGAGCGGCACTGGGGGGTGTGATGGTATGGTGACTATCATCCCAAAAGCGAAACGTGAGATCAAAGGAGGTGATACAGCATTCACCCTCTTGTTCTCCCAAAGAAAGATGGCTGTGGTCATTACTGTTGTACCCCTCTCCACCAAGGTCTGGATTTCACTAACATTCACCTTTATATCAGTTGTGCTGTGGTAGTAAGACATTCTCCTCATGGAGACACAGGCAGTGAGAAAAGGAAAAATAAGAGGTAGTTAGACCAAGCTGAATCATCCTTTCTTGCTATAAGATGGCTTTCCAGAATGTGGAAACCTTCTATATTCTTTATCATAATTTTTAAAAGTAGATATTGTACCCAGTAGCAGCTCTACTGCAGCAGATTAACTACTTTCCTTGCTGGTCTTGCTGTTCCCTTTACACATCCAAGTGTGCAGTGCCACCTCACTCAGCTGTGGGGGCAGGTCTTTCCTCCCCAGTGACTTCTGTCTTGGTCCCTTCAGATGCTGCTTTCCTGGATGCAGTCTCCCATTCTGAAGCAAGACCTGCATTTAGGTTTCCAGACTCAAGCATAATCATTATAATCATTTATTTCTTAAACCTTATAATCATTTTCATAGGGTCAGCCATCAAGCCATGATCATTGCTCTGCAGAGAAGTTGTCCTTCCCAACATTGCCATTTTCGACACTTCATGAATGGTTTCCCAACAATGTTTTTATATCTCTCAAATCTCTAATAATTTTAAGAAGAGTTGCTGTTTCCACTGTGCTGGAGACAGTGTCTCCATTGAGTTCCAGTCTTGTTTGAAACAAATTTCATGCATTGCAGATGATGCTGATGCTGAGCCTAGTGCCTCACACACTTAGTCTGTGCACTCTGCTGAACTTCTGAGTTCAGGAAAAAAATCAAGACTGTTTGACAAGAGCTACTTCCACAAAGTCATGCTGCCATGCCTGATTTGGGCAATAAGGTCCCATCAGGGCTTGTGAAAGGGACATCTGGGGTCTCTGATTCACCCTCCTGTTTGCAGCAGGACTATCACCAAGAGCAGATTGGGAGGGCCTGTTTTTTTCTAGTTGAGTCCTAGAAAACTCCACCTCTCTGCTAACCTATCCTAGGACTATATCACCCTCCTGGGGAAGATGCTTTTCATAATTTTCAGCCTGATTTGTGGCTAGGGCCCCTTGTTCCATCACCTAGCCCTGCTGGGAAGAGTGAGTTTCCACCCTTTTTAAACTGTGATCTGAGCAGTTATAGCTGCGATTGAATTCGCCCTTAATGTCTTCGTTATCAGGCGCAGCCAGTCCAACTCTCTCCATGTCTCATAAGCCCTGTGCCCAGGCTGCCTTGATCGCCCATGGCTGGGTCCTCTGCAGTTTCTCCTGGACCCATTGCCTCATGTCCTGCACTGACCAGGTTGAGGTTGTGTTAGCTGACCTGAGACTACCGAGGTTCACCCTTTGCATTTCACTGTAAAGTTGTCATCTTTTCAGTCCTACCAATAAAGCCATCACAAGTCCAGACACCGCGGTGCAGAGCAGGGCCCTGAGGGACAGGCCGCCTCTCTTTTTAGGAGAAGGTTGGTTGAAAGAGAGTGTGTGAGAAGGCCAGTGCCAGCCCATGCTCGGAGGTGGTGTCCTGGACTTTGTCTTGCAGTGAGTGTCCTGAAAAGACCAAAAGTGTTTAACCTCCAGAAAGGCAGGTTTTGTTAGAACAGGAGAGGGGATGCTTCCCTTTTCAAAGTACATAAAATTAGAAAGGACCAGGAGCAGCAGAATAAAAATTAAAAAAAACTTGAAATAAACATCCCCTTCCCACCACCTCCTTGGTCCTCGGTCAGTCTTCAGCCAACTTGAATTTATTCCTTCCAGCAAACTCTGCATGATTCCCACTGCCTTCCTAGGAAATATCTTCTTTCACCTTTGTGGCCAGGTTGTTTTCTCTCTGCTCTTCTCAGCAGGCTTCTTCTTGACCTCCAGATCCATGCTGTACGTCCCCCAACTCACCCTCCGCTTGCCTGCCTATCGCACCCTGCAACTCAGTGGCACTTCTCCCCCAAAGCTCAGCAGCTCTCCAAGGAGGGAGATCCAGGACTTGCTGTCTGACACAACCAGTCCTGTCTTAAGGGACTATGAGGTGGCCAAAGCAAACGAGCCCACTGCGCAGAGACCGGATGCCACCAAAAGCCTTTTCTCAGCCATGCCAGAACAAAAGAGCTGTGCCAAGAGGGTGGTTGAGAGCTGTGCCAGCATCCCAGGAGGGAAGGTGCAGGAGGGAAGCCAGGGGTCAAGGAGCTGAGCG